ATTGAGGTGAGTACCAAGTTCACATTTCACAAGAAAGTCCGTTAATGGTCGATATTTTATTTTTCGAAAAATTTAATTATTGATGGCAAAAGCGAGATTCGACGATAGTTACTGAATTGTTTATGGCCCTTGATTTTAATTCCTGCATCAACAACCATTTTTTCCGTGAAGGTATTTACAGCTCATTTCCCTAGAATTTGTTAGGCAAATTTTTGGATCTTGTTATAAAAAAAAGCATTCACAGTGCACTTTATCAGACAAACAAACTTATTCTTTTGCTTTTTTCAAAATTTTCAGATAGTGCGGAATAGCCATGAGACTGAACTTTTTGTTTATGTAAGCTATCATGTTCGCTCCTGGCTTTTTTATTGTCATTTATCAACCATTTTTTTGTTTTTTGCAATTTTCCGAAACTTGAGTGGTGCAAGAAAGATCTAGTGTTTTAACAATACTGCCAATGAAGACAAGAATCTTTTTAGCGGCAAATATTCTTTGGTTAAATCCTGATATGCTACAAACTTTAGCTGAAAGTTTCACCTTTTTTGTTTTGCATCATGTTCAAATTTCTGTGAGTCAATGTTACAAAAGCAGTTTTTCGATTGCACGAAAAAAGGATATGGAAAAGGATAATGATCAGTTGTTGTTTCATGAATTACTTCACATTTAAATTGTTTTATACTTGGAAAAATTTGTCCAGACAAAAACTCCAAATAATGGTCTGTTTAGTAGGTCCTGAGCAAAAAGGGTGAAAGTTATTTGCTTCAAGAACAGTTTTGTAAATATTTTTCGCTTCGCCATTCAATAGGATGTCCAGATTAAATTTCAATTAATTACGCGGTATGTTGAGCAACAGATTATTTCAGTAGTGTGCCACATCCATTGCAAAAGGCTGCAACACTTTTTTGGCGATGGCCGGTAAATACCATCCGAACCGTACTTCCTAGTTCACATTTAATCCGCAGTTAGACTTTCAACTTTCAAAACAGAGGTGTTTATTTCTGAATTATTGGTCACACTGATATCTTTTGTTAGAACATGCCTAATCCTCCTCCTCTTGGTTTTTTTAACCATCTTATACTGGTATTCCGGTATCTGTAATCTGGTTTAGTATCCAACTGGCATAAAAAAGTTTTTAGTTAAAAATTATGAGCATGCAGAGAAATTGTATTCATAATCAAGATTGAGCAGGTTGATGTTAAAGGGTGCCTATCATTTTTCTCCGTGTTGCTCGACACGAAATGCATGGCTGGTACCTGCACCGGGGCAGCTGTTATGTTAAGTTCATTTGTTTGGGTTAGCACAGTCATCAAGGCAAGAAGAGCTTCAACGATCTAAGAAGCTTTTTATGTTGTTGGACTGGCAACAAGTTCATTTTATTTGTCTTGGCACTTTGCAAGTGCCAAAAAATTGTTGGGGTGTCAATTTTGCTGTATTTTAGGGGTCTCAGTGTGTCCACACTAAATTTCGTTGACACGCCTAGCGTAGTTTGATCTATTTTCTTTTGAAGAGACGATAATTCTTCAACAGACGCTATTTTTTTCCGCTTTGACGACGGGAAACTGTGGACCGTGAGGATATATGTTCTGCTTTGATTCAAAATCGGGATTGATTTTGCTATTGCGTCAAGTTTCATTGCTCGATCACGAGGTACAAGGCACTCATTAACTATTACATCTTGCCTTCGCAATTTTCTGTTCTTTTCTAGCCATGAGCATCGTCTTCCACGCAATATCACGATTGTCGTGAAAATTGATTTTAACTAATACAGGCGCAACTGAACCAGATTTAGGTGGATGACATGCTGCTTTGTTATGCTTAATCAAATTTATATTCATAGGGTCATGCATAAATTCTTAGCACATTTAATGAATCGGAATTGATATCCATTTTTATTGAATGTCAAGCAGAGGTTCCTGGATCACTTCGCGAGTCCAATGACCCTCTTCAATGTTCCATGTAATTGTTTCTGGTTGTCAAACATTTGATTTTTATTTTCAGTTTTTCGTCTGAGAGCAGTTAAATTTCTTGCGATTAAAGTTCAATTAAGTTGAAATTTTTCTTAAGGACATTTAATTTTTAGCCGGTTGGTCAGTCCTTGAGTCAATATCATTTCGCAGTTGTTGAGTGAATTTGATGTTAAAGCCATCACGTGGGAACATCATTTCAAAATCAGTCATTATCTGGAACTATTTGACAAATTTATCGCAACAATTAGGCTAAAATTTTAGTTAACATAAAAGAAACTCTAGTGTTTCAGATGTTTGAGAAGTATCAACGCTATGTAAATACAAAAATTTTTTTTTTGCCCTTTTTATGATTATATCACATAAACTGCCTTAATTCAATGTTCAACGATTTTTAGGCCGGAACATAACTCTGCAAAAACGTTATTAGAACCAAAAACATCGCTCCTGAAAAGTCGCAATTATGTCAAACTGACAATTTTAAGAACCTCAAAACTTCCTTAAAAATGATCACAGTTAATTTGTTTGAGATTTAGCTCAAAACAGGAATACTTTTTGAATAAATTTTTAAAAATCCGTCAGAAAATACTGGTTAGAAATCCGATAAATTTCTGAGAAAAAAATTTACCACCCAGAGCACAATTGTTTTTTCTTGCGATTTTTTAATAATAAAAAACAAAAAAAAATCGGTCAATTTAGTTTCATAACGGTATAATTCAGCTAAAGTTTGGCGGAATTAGGTAACTGGTTTTCACGTTATTTGAAGAAAAATGTGCTTGTGCAAGTTTCGAAAACTAATTTATCAATGACATACTATCTATTAATGTTCCGATAGCTCAATCAGCATTTATACTCTTTAGAAAAACTCGAACTCTATTGGGGCTCGAAACCCTCACGCTAGGGATTGACAAAAGCGACTGTTAGCCACTCTATAAGCGGCCATGTAATGGGTAATTGATTTCTAATAGCGTCGTATACTAGTTTGAGTTCTACTGTAAATATACTTTCAACTTAATCTATGTAGCACTAACATGCTCCACCCCGAAGGAGCGGGAAGCGGAACAAGTTTTAGAGTGGTGCCGAAGTCAATCCTAAGGTTTGCAAAACGGACGACGTTGTCTTTGCGCAGTTTAGCGACGTTACGCGCGTTAATGGGTGGTAGCCACTAGGACTGCTCTTTTTCCCCTTTCCCTCCAATGCGCAGGTGCATCATATTCCCTCCAATACTAAGGAGCATCGTATGCAGAGCAGATATGTTTTTCATGGCTTATTTATGTCGTATGTTTGTACGTATGTCGTATGTCGTAAAAGACTTGTTACACCAAAAAAATGATGCTCGTGTGAGGTGGGTGGAAAAGCCAAAAATGGTTTGGTGTCAATGCCTCTAGACTAGTGGGATTGTCGAAAAAGGCAGTAAGTGGACGGAGGCTGAGCGATTTTTCCAATAAGCACATGGTACTGTTCAAAACCTCCTCAGTCAATTTGGGGCTTTTTTCCCTCCCCTCATCAATAAATTTTTGCAAAAACGAATTTTATTCACAATTTTCCTTGCTACGAAAATTAAGGTACAGACTAAGTAAATTTTGCCAAACAAGTTTGGCCTTCATAGTTGGCCTTGTAAAACCACTCGTTAAATCGTTAACTTGATGCTCTTGTGTTTGAGGCAATTTTCCAATTCACCCTTATTGTTCTGACTTTCGATACAAAAGTGACGGAATATTTGTGCTCCGGGTGGGTTTTTTTTCTTCAGACAAATTTCGACTTTTTAACTAGCTATTTTTGACAGAATTTTTTTTATATCATTCAAAAGGTTATGTTGTCTTGAGCTTAAATTTGAAAAGATATTTCACCTGTGTTCATTTTTCGTGAAGTTATGAGGGTTTAAAGATTGCCAATTCGGACAATTGGGACAATTAACGCGCGCTATATTTCGCTCTATTAACGCGTAAGCGGAGATTTAATCCGCCTTTTAAATCGTTCCAAACTGGTTGAAAGAAGCTTATTTGCCATAACTGTTTTGTTACAATGAGCAAAATCTATTCTTTTAAATTTTATATGGCGTGTGGGGGGATGATTTCGCAAAAAAAATTTCAAATTTTAGAAAGAAAAAATTTTCATTTTTTTAAAATTATATTTAGTTTTTTTATGTTACTACTGCTCGATAAACCTGAAAAGGCAGTCGGAACATTCAGGGCTTTGCCCTGATACGAGCAATCTTGTTTTGCTTTTCAGTTTTGAAAAACTAATCTTACTTGTCATTTTGTAACGAAATTGTGCATGGTGCATAAACTAACTTCTGTGAACACATTTATTCTTCATACCTTACTTCGTAACATTACCCATTCAGCCATAATAACACGTAAGACATTTGAAGAAATGGAAATTTTGAAATGTGGAGGGGGAGTGGAAAAAAGCCAATGAAAAAAATCCAATCTTCTTGATACTAAGATTGAACAAGCATAGTTGAGAACACATAACCTGAGCACCAATCGCAAAAAGCGTCAAAAGTATTCCGAGTTTGATCATCCTATTTTATTGACAAATTTATCCGATTGTTTTTGAAGTCAATTCAAAGGCATTTAGCCATAATGACTGGCAAAAACAACCAAGAAAACTGACTATTTGAAAGGTGAATGGAAAATGGAAAAGAGCCTGAAAAGGATATGGCGCAAACCTATGCACTCAGGCTTTTGCTACTTTTACATGGCTATCACATGAAATCACTCCAAGCTCTTAATAGCGTAGATTAAGTCAGGAGTCTTCTCAGACTTAGATGTCTATTTTTAGCCAAGCTGAATTTCCCGCAATAAAATCAAAGCACCGAAAGTCAGTCTTGTATGTTCCAATTTAGGATCAAATCTAATGACTCTGGATTTCCCGCAATTAAAACATATAAACTGCAGTGACTCTTTGTTATACCTTTTGAATCATTCAAACTTTGAATTGACTTCAAAAACAGTCGGATAAATTTGTGAATAAAATAGGATGATCAAACTCGGAATACTTTTGACGCTTTTTGCGATCGGTGCTCAGGTTATGTGTTCTCAACTATGGCATGATGAAGATGATGAGATGAGCGTTGTCGTCAAGAACCGATCGGCAATTACGAATGGATACGACTCGCCCGACAGACCTTTCTACGTTCGCGTCTTAATCAATAACAAAAACAGTCAAACTAGCATATGTGGAGGCAGCATCATCTCACCAGAAATTGTGCTCAGTGCTGCCCATTGCTTTTACAATGGTTTGTATTACTTTTTAAAAAATCCAACCAACACAGTCGTCTCGCCCCTCCTCCCCTTGTCGCCCCGCCTCCTTTTCTAATTATAGCTGAAACATAGCAGAAAATCCGTTTTTGCAATGGTGAGGTCGCGGGGACAAAATTTGATCAGTTTTGCTGTGTTTTCGTTACGGTTCTTGTGAATCGCAGAAGATCTATCAGTAGGACTTAAGGCGTTATGCTTAGCATGAAGTTTCGCTTATGTTGAATGAAATTTGTTCAATTTTCCAGCTTTAAACAATAAACATCATTGTTTTGTTTTAGGAGGCTCTGTGACAGTCGAAGTGGGTGACTTTACACAATCTCGACCCAGACTTCAACGAATCCGCGCCAAATACAGAATTCACGCGGGCTTCACTGGTCGCGAAGGCAATCAATTTGTGTTTCCAAAATTAAAATTAGTTGAGATGGTGATTTGTGTCAAGCTGAAAATGGAAATTTTTGCTGAAATTGAAAATCAAATTAAAAAAAAAATTTGAGCAAAAACCTTCAAAATAGACGCAATCAGTCTAAATCACGGCAACAGCCCAAAACCAGCGTTTGAAACATATTATAAGCATGCTGTAAAGATAAGTATTATTCCCTATGGCAGCTTCATTGTTTCTGTCCACATTTGTGAAAAAAGCAACCTGAAAATGCATTCTTTAAGGTGTAAAACATTGTTCTAGATCTATATAGCTTAATCAATATAAAACCGAACTCCGGCCAAGAAATCTGAACATAAATTGATCACCTCAATCTTCACAAGGCTCAAAGGACGACATAGCGCTGCTCTATCTATCCGAGAGAGTTTCTAGCAGCCGAAAAATAAAACTTTGCTCTCATGACTATAATGACTACACAATTGCAGTCTGTGGAATGGGGAGCATTTCAGGTACGGAAACTTATTTTCCGCAAGTCCTTCAGGAAGTTCAACTGAAGGAGAGATCCTCATGTCCCGCTCGGATCTCTAGCAAGCAAATCTGTCTAAAGGGCAGTTATAAGGACAGTTGTGGGGGTGACTCGGGGGGACCTGCGTACCCTCTGATCAGCAGTGGACCCAGATGTCTCTATGGAGTGGTGAGCTACGGAAGTGGGGATTGTACTGGATGGGGGGTGTACACTCGGGTTTCAGCATACTCCGACTGGATTGAACGGAACGCCTGATATACTCGTAACTCAAAATATAGTATGATTTTAGTAACCAAGAAAAAAATATAATTTTAAACAATTCGAATTAACAATGGCTTTAATTTTTTTTAAAAACCTGCATATAAGCCTAATAATTCACCTTTGGGACAAAATAACCGAAATATATATACATGCGTACGTTAGTCAATCCAGGTAGGTTATATAGCAAGATCTTGCATCTTGCAAGAATCTCGCAAAAGAGTTTTTTAAAAACGATGCCTCTCTTTAATAGATTTTAAAAGATTTTTGCAAGAAGTTGCAAGATAACCTTCCAAATATAATTTTTCCAAAAAGAACTTTAGAGAAATGATTATGGGGGAAAAACCAGCTTCACACGCGTAGACAACTATAAGCGTTCTTTGCAGAAGGAAGCAATCTTAGCTTCGCATACATACACACAGCCCGCTACGTGGTTGCTCTATTTGAAAATTTTATTTTTCAATTTTTTCTGAAAGGGGCCTATCTCAAAACTTTCGATCGAAAACTCATAACTAAGTCTCTCACAAAAATTGCATCAAACCAGATAAAAAAATAGCAACAAACAGATTAAATGCGAAGTTTTTTTGATAGCCTTTAAAATTTATAAAGCTTCTTTTTTGCTCAGTTCGTTTTGCCGAGTTTTCTGGCTCGGCGATGCCATATTTACGAGATCAATTGAAAACCATGAATGTTAATAAAAATTAAATTTGAATGGTTAAATAAAGAAATGTAGATCCCCATTATAAGGAAACCACATAGCCGCAATATTGATTAAAAACGACGTTGTCAGCAGCTCACTGAAATCATTTTTTGAAGAAAATAATTGTAAAAAGTTTTCTGATATTTAAAAATCCCAAATATTGTTACACTCTGAAGGCAACTTTGACAAACGAAATCCTCCTTTTTTTGGTATTTGCTCTCGAAAATGAACTGTTCCATAAAGTTTTGTATGTTCAATTTTTTGTAATTATTTTTTTCCAAAAAGGAGCAAAAAAAGGGAAAAAGTAATAAAACGCAAGCAAAGACGAAAAATTTTCTGAATTTTCAACAATTTTTCTACTTAATGAGTTCATTTCGTAACTCAAATTTGAGGCAAAAATTTCTCAATTTGAGAAACTGAATCAATAAATGAAAATTGAAAACAAATCTTACTAGTATTTTAAAAAAATCCAGATTCTAGTAAATAATAATGATTAACTATCTAAACAATGAACACATGCGGTTTAAATAAAACCTTGCTTAGCTCTATCAAAAATGGCTTTGTTCGGGTTTAATTAATTTTTGAGAAAAACGAGAAAACGACAATTTTTTCCATAAAAGTAAATCTTGCAGTTTTTGTAATAGTTTCTTTTGTAGTTTTTCAATCAGCTGCATAGATATAGCTGAATTTGATGGTCGAAGCAGTTTTTTTTTAGAAACCTATCTAACGTCGTGGCTACAGTTAAGAAAGAAAAACGAACATCAATTTCAGTATACACATTTTTTAAAACAAAAAGTCAAGATGCAGACAAACCCAAACAACCGCTGTATTCTATCAACACAGTGGTAAACTTTTTTTTATGGTTTAGCTTCTAGATAGTTGTCAATACTTCCGACAAGTCATGTTTTTTTATTCGCAGAGAAAAAAGCACAACCATTTTTTACAATAAAACGAAGATCGAAAAAATTTACTGTTTTGGAAAACTTGATGAGCTGTATCAATCTATTTACATCAAAAAGATGTGAGTGTTTTCTGCAGAAATCTACCATCAAACACATAATTTTCCCATGATGATCAGAACAATACATTTTTTGAGCTCAATTGGCTCTTTTGGGTTTCTTTGTAAGTGTTTCAATAAACTTTTTTCATTTTTTTTTATAAAAAAATATGTAATTCAAAAAAAAAATAGTCAAAAACTTTTTGAGTATGGATAAAACAATGTGCATATGCGAGTTCTCAAACAAATTTTTCATTTTGCAACATATTGGATGCTACCAAACCCAACAACTGTACCATGATTAAATCAAATTTTACATTGGTTTGGGACGAAAAACATAATTATGCTGAAAACAAAGTTTAAAAAAGTAATAAAAAAATCAAGAACGCAAGCTTCCATGGGATATCCCAACCAAACACTCAAATAATATTTTAAAAGAAGATAAGTTTGAACTACTTCAGGAAATCAACCTGCAATTGACTCTCTTAAAAGAAATGTTTTTGAACGAATTTTGTTAATTTATGTAAAGGATACATTTTAAAAAAAGAGCAATTCTCGACGTTTTGTGATGTTTTGTTTGAATTATTAGTCGGCTGCACTAAAGCTGTTGATTAAAATTATCCTGATATACAATCATTTCTTGTATATTATGAACAAAACTTAGTCAAATTTTTTTAGATTGGAAAAAAGAGCTAATTTCAAAAACTTTTTTGTGAGTTTTTGTTTGTGAAGCTAGAACAGTTTGAAATACAGCAGGCTGGAACACATAAGATGCATCAAAATTATTTCCGTCCTACAGGATAGCCTCCCTGATGAAATTTCTTGCCTAGTAACCTCTTATTTCATAATTATTGCAAGATAACTTCCATCTCGCAAGATCATTTGCGTTTTTTATTTCAAATGATGTTTGATGTTCTGCATGTGATCAATTTTGCGACCTCCGTCTCTATCTCTAGCCCACCCATATTCCTCGCTTCGTTTGTTTTTTTGTAGTCATTAAAATTTCGGTGTTGTTAATTCCCACTCCCACTGCCCGGACAAAAGTGCTTATCGACGTCCCCTGTCGATGGTCGTGCATCTAGATTATTTGAGTGTATTCTGAGTGGTTTGTCTTCGGCTATCCGACCAGTTTTGTTGTCTTCTCTAATGAAACTTGCTGCCGAAGCGTCCAATTCCCGCAGTGTTAACTCTTGTTCACCATCTGTTCTGGCCTCATGCATCCATTTTAGTACCCTTAAGTTGGCCTCTTCTCTCTTCTCAAATTTTCGTTGCTCTAGGTCAACTTTAAGCTCAGTTACGCTGTGGTCATTATGCGAGAAAGCGCCATCGTCTTTGATTACCTACCTGCAGATCTAAATCTCTTTCTATTTTCCTCAGTCACCAAAATCTTGCCAAACCTTGCAAGATAAGCTCACTTGATCAACTAGGGTAGGTATTCTTAATTCCCAAATACCTGAATTCAAAAAAAACTTCATGACTTGGCGTCAAAAAACACCGTCTTATCTAGTTTTGCGCTAATAATTGATGCTAGCCAATGAAACGGTTCCAACAAATCTTTACGAAGAAAAACAACTCCGTCTTATGCCCAAGGCAGTTATGTTGTCTCTAAAACTTGTACAAGTCTAAGGTATAAGTTCCCAAAACATTTGAAAGTCACTATCGTCAAAAAAATAAGACCGTTTTTTGACACAGAGTATAACAAATTTTATCGTTTTTTGTCAATGTTTTTATTTTCAGAGTTTTGATTTTTTTTTAATTTCGCAAGTCTGATATGATATATTAAACTTTCAATAAAATTTTTCAAGTTTCGACCCGACTACAACTGGCTGTGGTATTTTACGCCTTCAAAAAATATTTCAAGTTTCGACCTGACTAACTCCTTCCAATTAAGTTCATCAGCCTTTTTTTATTTCATTTTCTCCGGGAAATTAAAACATTGTAACTTTTTTGTCCAGTACTTGTATGAAGAATGGGATTCGCTGATGAGTGGAAGAGAGCCAAAAAATTTTTGCCAAAAACATAACTCTGGCGTCTATAGTTCAAATTGGGCTGACTAACCCGCATTTCTTGTCCCATTAAAGCGTAAGCGGCATCTAAATAATTTCGAACTAAACTGGGTCAGTTGTTACCGTAATTTCGTGCTTTTCTTTCGTATCAGATTCGGAACAACAACAAATCTCGTATCAGTTCAGTTTCGAGTCGCTTGCAACTATTTTGCTCCTTACACTAACCGTGAACGCAAACCTGGAAAATGAGGCCCACTAATTATCTCATTTCAGAGCAACCATTTTATTTCGCAGAATTGATTAGTGAAAAAAATTGAGCTCAGATCATTAATATCTTTTAATCACTAACCAGGTCAACAAATGTATTGCACTTGACGCTTTTTAAACAGCATTGAATTACTATTTGAGCAAATAGTTTCTAATGGTGTCACAAAGTTGGGAAGGATGGCTTGGTGAAGCTAGAATAATAGCGATCAACCACAATTTAGGCTGTTGATTTTAGATGATGTTAGATTATATCAGATGATCTGATGATTGCTGCGATTGGGAGAAAGGATGCTAGTTCTGCAGTTCAGCTAGGCTATTTTTGGTCTACTACTGGAGTTTGGGCTATTTAGGGGTTGCAGTATTCTACAACTCATCCTAATCAATACTTTTCTCGTTTGTTCGCATGTTGCTCCAAAATTGTGTGCTTCTTGTAATGAAAGCTATACGATGTATTCATAATTAAAAAAACGGCACAATGTTAACCCAGTGCCGGTACATTTTTTGGATGAAAAACCAATTTGCTAGAGCCCAATTTCTACCGATGATATAGCGAACCTCGGGTCGTCCAAGGACCATCAATCCCGTAATCCAATAATTTTGAAGTATAATTTTTTTCTCAAAATTTGAATTAAGCTTGTGCACTCCAAAAAACTATAAAAAAAACAAGTCGTGGAAGGTTTCGGAATCATTTTTTTTGAGAAACTGTTTGAAAGTTTTGGTTAAACTGTAAGACACAATACGCATATCAGAAATTCAAGGTACAATACCCACATTAGAATGTCAAAATCGGGATATAAGACCAAGGTTTTAATTTTCATCTTGGTTAAACGATGTAAGTATAGCTTTCGCCCCGTCGTTTTTTCAATTGATAGAATCAACGTGAACGGTTTTCTTATCTGGAGAGTTATCACGGAGATTGTCTAAAGCAAAAATTTCAATTAACTCGCTGGTCTCCAAATTCCACTCATTCGTCCGCAAATTTGCTTCTCAAAATATGCCTTTATACCACAAGGCGTGTGTATATGGA